AGGGGAGGGCCGCACACTGCAGGACCCAAGAAGCTGCAGAGCCTCAGCCCCCAAACATGCGCAAACATGCGCAACATGTCCAGTCTCAGGAATGTAAGAAGCGGATGATTGAGAATCGTGGACTCAGGGATGGAGAATTATGAAGCGTCAAAATCGAGATGTGGAAAATATGGAAACAATGAGGAGAGGCAGGACTGAGATGTGGAGATATGCTTCAGAGATCCAGACTGTGGGGAGCTCCGAAAAAGTAATAATTATAATTTGGACTATAATTTGGTCTTTTTTTATTTTAATTGGAGTATTATGATTGGATATATTAATTGGATGTTTTTTATTGGAAAATCAATAAAAATGATTTTTTTTAAAAAAAGGAATGTAAGAAGCTGGTTTATCCCAAGCCAGGCCCCATTGGTCAATCTAGATCAGTTTGGCCACCTCATAAGAAGAGAAGACTCCCTGGAAAAGACCCTGATGTTGGGAAAGATGGAGGGCACAAGGATAAGGGGACGATGGAGGACAAGATGGTTGGATAGTGTTCTCGAAGCTACCAGCATGAGTTTGACCAAACTGCAGGAGGCAGTGGAAGACAGGAGTGCCTGGCGTACTCTGGTCCATGGGGTCATGAAGAGTCAGACACCACTAAATGGCTAAACAACAACAACAAGAAGAAGAAAATGTCCTCACTGACTGGCAGCCGTGGCTCGCCAGGATTTCAGGCAGGGGTTTCTCCGACTCCTACTTGGAGTTGATGGGGGTACAAAGTAGAAACTTAACCCCATAGAAGGGAGGCTCTGGGGCACAGACCTAAATGACCTCCAGATCCGCAGCAGAAGGCCAGCTAGCACTTGTTGGGAGAAAGTCAATTACACTTTGAGGCGCCCTCCTCTCTTCCTGCTCCCGTTTTCCAGTGGTATCTCTGTGGCACCGCCCTCTGCTTTCACTGCTAAGGTTAAGGGCTTTGCTCAAGTTGAAGCTATAGGGCAGAGAAGGCGGCCACCCCATGAAAGCAAGACTTAGCCAAGCCCCGCTGGCACTGCCACCCTCTCACCCATGCCTTGCTTGGTTGCTTTCTCCGTGCAGCAAACAGGGAATTTATTTCCGTGATCAGGCAGTTTGCAGGGACGATTCCAACCACCACCTCCAACAGGAACACCAAAGCTGTGCCCAAACTTCCCACCTGCACCAATAGCCAGTTTTGATGGCAAATTGATCAAAATTCCCTTCATCCTCCAAGCCACCTGGGTTGTATCTTCCCACTCAGGGATGGGGAACCTGTTACACTCCAGACATTGTTGGACTACAACTCCCAGCAGTCCTGAGTGCTGGCCGGGACTGATGGGAGCTGGAGTCCAGCAGCAGCCGGAGAGCCATGGCAGAGCCAGCAGCACCTCCCTCAGTGACCAGCTCTGTCCTTCTGAGGACTGAGCGTCCTGCTCACACCTCCCAATTGCCCAAACCTCTCCCCCTTGGGCCAAACATCCCAGTTCTTCTCTGCTTATCACAGACAGTGCGCACACCACAGCTCGGTGGCAAAGGCAGCCAAATGGCCAATTCCACAATGCTGTGCTCGGCACATTCCTTCATGCTTCCTTGCCCTGAAGAGAGATTCATACAGTGGTACCTCTGGTTGAGAACCGGATCCGTTCCAGAGGCCCGTTCGCAACATGAAAAGAGCACAACCTGAAGCACTGTATCTGCGCAGGTGCGTGGCGCGATTTGGCGCTTGTGCGCACATGCACGAAGCGTGATTTAGCGCTTCTGCGCAGGTGCGAGCGGCAAAACCCAGAAGTAACCCTTTCTGGTACTTCTGGTTCGCTGTGAGACATAACCTGAAAGAATGCAACACGAAGCAAACGTAAAATGAGGTATGACTGTAATTTATTTGGAGAGTGCCCATGGCCTGAGGGGCTCCAGAGCTAGCACTGAACAGGTCTGTCTTGCCTTCATTGCTGACAATGTCTTCTTCCCCACCTAGAATCATGGAATCGTACAGTTGGAAGGGAACCCTGAGGGTCATCCAGCCCAACCCCCTACAATGCAGGAATCTCAACAAATGCTTCCATGACAGATGGCATTGCAACCTCTGCTTTAAAAACTGCGCTTTTCCAGCATCTCCTTCTTCCCTGCCCCACTCACCCTGTGAAAGGGAACTCTAGGGCATTGTGGACTTTTAGAGAGGGAGAGGGTCAAAACTGGCACTAATAAAAACTTCTGGCCTACCTGGGAAGGCTGTTGTGATGATGATGGTGATAATTTATTATTTATACCCCACCCATCTGGTTTCCCCTGCCACTCTGGGCGGCTTTCAATAGAATATTAAAAACACGGTAAATACATCAAACATTAAAAACTTCCCTAAACAGGGCTGCCTTCAGATGACTTCTAAAAGTCAGATACTTCTTTATTTCCTTGACATCTAATGGGAGGGCACCACCACCGAGAAGGCCCTCTGCCTGGTTCCCTGCTAGAATATCATAAAACGGACACAAGAAAAGCAGGGTGCAAATGCTGTTTTTGATCCCGAACTCACTCATAATGCCACTTTCTGATTAAAAAAAAAAGGGGGGGGATATTTGCCACATTCCTTGGATGGCTGCCATTTCGAAGCCATCCTCAGCCAATAAGACTTTTGCCAAAACCTCACCACCCCATGTTTGTTCCAGGAAGAAGGGATCATAATAACTTTTCCAAACTATGCTCAAGCTGAGACTTTGGAGAGCCTCCAAGTGGCAGGGAGTCCCCACGGCAGCTGAGCAGCAACAAAGAAACCCTCATAAGAATCCCTGCCTTCACCCAAATTCACGGCACCCAAATTCACAGCACCCAAAGGCAACGCCACCCCGAACAGATATCCTCCCTCTCTTATTTCCACCCTCAGGAGAACTCTGAGCCAGGAATAGGCATTCTGCTTCCTAGCAGAGGCAGCTAACCAGCTGGGGGGGGGCATTTTTGAGTGGGGGTGGGGGGGTGGGAAGGGATAGGCATGTGAAAGAAGACCAGGTAAGTGCAGGAAAAGCTTTGCTGAGCAGGAGGGGATTGAGGAGGGGCTGGCTGGCGGCAGAGTGGAGCCCCCCCCCCCAGCAACACAGGAAGAGCCCTTGGTTCTCCCCCAAAACCTCTTCTCTGTTCTTGCATCAGGCTGTGCAGCAAAACCACAGCCCTCCCTTCATTTCCAGGCTCCTTTCCTTTGCTGCCTCTACCAGGTGAGTTCTAGGAAGCCCACCTGATGGTTTGTACTGCTGCCGGTTTTCTCCCCAACCCTGTTGAGAGCAGCTCTGTAAGGAAGCCAAGCAAAGGAGGTGGGGGATGGGGGGCAGGCTCTCCTCTCTGGGTCAGCCAAAGGGAGCCTCAGGCAGCTCCTACCCACCACCCCACCCCCCACAACCAAGATCAGCATACATCCCCCCCCCCCGCCCAACCCACCCCAAACATTCTCCTTCCCCATCACTGCCCTTCTCAGCCCTGGGGCTGCTCTGCAAGACCTCTGCATTCCCACCCAGATGGTGCAAAGAGAAATTCAACCCCACCATCACCCACTCATGAAGCAGAGGGGGCAGAGCCGTGTGTGTGTCCCCCCCCCACTCCACCCATCAGCACCTGGGGGGAGAGAAGGCTGTCAAGAACCAGGGACTGGGAGGTTCGGGTCCTTGTGTGGGAACCTGTAGAGCCCCCCACAGATCAGGGGTCTCAAGATCACAGGAGGCTGAGAGGAGGCACATGCAGAGACCCCTCTCCCTTCGTATCACGCCAACACCACCAATAGGGCAGCCCCACGGATCTTCAGTGGGTCCGAAATCTGCACAGGACAGGCAACTCACCTCAAAGGGCACACACACATTCCCCACCCCATAGATCGGGCACAGTCCCCACAGAATAGATGTGGCCAGAGCCGGGGTGGGGTGTGGGGAGGATAGCCCAAAGCCCCACAGAAGAAGAGAAGGCGCTCCCTCTAAGCCCCCAACCACCCAACAGAAACACCCCCACAGGATCAGCAGACAAGCTGCCAGACCCTTGGAAGCTTGGCCCCACAGAAAGCACACCCCTCATCAGCAGCGTAGAAGGATGGACACCTCCCCCCCCCAAAAAAGAGAAGAAGACACAGCCCAGCTTCTCAGGGCCACAAATGCACCCTCTTCACTTTGCTAGGACAGGCAAACTGTCCCTTCTTCAAAATGCTCAGAAACAGTTGTAGAAGTCCAGCCACACCAAAAACATGAACACCACCCCCAGCTCTGGAGTGGGACAGCCACCACCCCCCATTGCATATCTCCCCCCCCCTTGCAAGAACTCCTCTCAGGGCAGCTGGGCACCCTCTGCCCAGCCATCGACATTCTCCCTCAGCTGGTTGGGGCAGAAGCGGGTGGCTGTTTGCCCCTTCAGAGAGCAAAAGCGCAGGGGCCCTTTCCTACTCCGCCCTGAGCCCCATCCTGCTTAGACTGGGAGGGGGCCTTCCAATATGGCCCCAGCCTCTATCTCTATCTCTCCGTGCCGCTCAGATGCAAGCCGGTCCTCCAGGAAACGCTCCGCTGTCTCTCCTGCTCCCCACCCCAGCCCCCGCCCGCCCGCCCATTCCATCACTGGAACCAAAACCTGGGTGGGGGCACCCCCTCGCCCAGGCTGCGGAGCACCCTCCTGCCTGGAGAAAGGGGTATCTCGGAGGCGGAGGATGCCGCCTGCCAGGAGAGCAGGGAAATCCCAGTGGGGCTGGTCACCTCCCCACCCCCCTCTCCATCCCACACCCCCCTCGTGAGACTGCAGTTGCCGTAAAAGTTTCGCCAGCCATTCCACAGGCAGCGGAAGGCGAGCGGGAGGCGGAGGCGGCTCTCGCTGCCCCATTCCGGGGAACTTGCGCATCTCTGGGGCCTCCGGCGGGTCTGCCCCCCACCCCACCGCCAGCCCCGGGTGTCCCTCCGGCGTGCGGGGACCAGGCCGGCGGCCGAGTCTGCAGCCTCCCTCCCCGGTCCGAGGCGCGCAAGGCGGACAGAGCCAGCAGCACTCACCGTTTGCTGGAGGTCTGGGATCCCGATGCGCACGACAAGGGCATTGGGCGCCGGCTCGTCCATCCGCCCGGGCGGTGATGCCAGCTTGTCGGAGCAAGGGCCGGGGCCGGCGGTGGCGGGGGGCTTGATGGTATCATACAGGGTCTCCTCCTTGAGGCTGCCTTCCGCCGCGCTGCTCTCCCCGGGATCGCCGTTGACAACGCAGAGCTGGTGGTGCTGGAGCGCAGGAAGATGCTGCTGCTGCTGCTGCTGCCGCCGCTGCTCCTCGTCGTCCTCGTCCTCCTCCTCCTCCTCCTCTTCCTGATGCTGCTGCTCTGCTTTCTCCTGCTGCTGCTGCTGCTGCTGCTGCTCCGGAGTCTCATGTTTGCTGCTCGCTGGACTAAGAGGCATGCTCTGTGCGCCAGAGGAGTGTGTGGCGGCGGCGGCGAGCGTGCGTGAGAGTGGGCGAGGGTGAGAGCACAGAGAGTAGGCAGGGAAACTAAGGAGAGCACATCACACTCCTGGGGCACAAGCACACAGGTGGGGTGGAGGCAGGAAGGGCGGCAGCAGCGGGGAGCCATGGGGTATCAGGAAGGGGGCAAGGGAAAGGAGGCACCGGGCAGGAGGGCAAGCAGGGTGGCCGAAGCACAGAGACCATGCACAGAGGTAAGGGCCACAAGGGGAGAAGGGGGCCACAACGCCCCATGCCAGGGCAGGGCAGAAAAGAGAGGGGCAGGGGTAGTGTGGGGAATGATTGCACGGCGTGGGAGGGAAAGAGAGAGAAACGGGAGTGGGGTGGGGAAGAGAGAAAGAACAGATATACACACATTAAAACCCTGCCAGCAATTGTTCCCATCCCTGCCAAAGCTGCGATGTGGACTTTCTGGGAATTTCTGAACTGCATTGGGCAATTTGCGTCGTCGGGGAGATTTCCTGGTGCCCGAGAAAGCCGCCCAGTCGAGCATGTGCGTTTCACTAGCACGGTGTTTAGCCAAAAAAAAAAAAAAAAAAAAAGGAAGCTCACGACTTGGAGACTGCCATGCCGCCCTAATGCTGCGCCGGCAATTGGCACCCCTTGGCTGCTACTGATGAACTTAGGAAATGGGAAATTGTCCGCAGAAAAGGAAGGCCCCGGGACCTCCGTGTCAGAGAATCACCTGATTTAGGAAGCAAAAGCTTATACACGCTCCCCAGCCCCTGAGGAAGCAGCGTGCAAGTGAAGAGGCGTTTCCTGGAATCCTTTGCAACATCAGGAAGGATTCTGGGAGTGCAAGAGGCAAGTTCATTGAGAGCTGCGCCCCCAGCATCCTCTGCAACACTGCAAGGGGTCCTGGGGCACACACCTGTGGGGCCGCAAAACGGTGCAGCAGAAGGACAGAAGCTGCTTTTCAGAAGGGGGGGTACCCAAAGGCAGGAGACAATGCTCAGGACAAGAGTTCTGCTGAGCAAGTGCAGAGTGCACAGAGGAACTTGTCACCAGAGTCAGCCCCAACTCACCTAGAATTAGGTAGATGTGAAACCAGGAGTCATAAAGGATCCTGGTATGTCTGGATGATCCCTGTAGATACACTGCTCCCCCAGGCCCATGTATGAGTTCCCCCCCATCTCCATTGCCTCTTTCCAGTCATGGCTCTTGGGGTTCAGCTCCCTCAGGCCAACTGCACCAATGCACAGATCGAGTGAGGGCTCCACATGGTTCCACACACCTTTCCTTTGGGTATGCTCTCCTCCTCAACCCATGGCCCTTCCATCCACTCCCCCCCCCCCACCATGGAAACCGGCTCTTTACCACTGAATGGCAGCCTGCATTGCTCTTTGGTCTGGTTTGGCATTAAAGAGCAGGTTCCCAAGGGGAAAGCAACAGAGCAAAAGGAAAAGAAAAACAGATTGGATGTGGCATTTTAAAGTACAGGCCTGTGCCTGGAAAGAGCAGGACAAAAGTTACCGTATTTTTTGCACCATAGGGCGCACCGGACCATAGGGCGCACCCAGTTTTTAGGGGAGGGGGAATCAAGAAAAAAAATACCCCCCAGCCCCAAAGAGCAGCGTACAGGCTGCACACAACCTCTCCCTGCCAGAGGGGTTGCGCGCAGCTATGGAACAAGCCAAGGCAGCGAGCAGGATGGATCCCGCTCGCTGTTTTGGCTTCCCCTTTAGCCCTGTGCAGCCTCTCCTTGCCGGGAGACGCTGCGCAGGGCTAAAGAAGCCATAGCCCCGTGCAGCCTCTCCCTGCCGGAGGGGTTGCACGCGGCTATGGCACAAGCCTGCATTCGCTCCATAGGACGCACACACATTTCCCCTCAATTTTTGGAGGGGAAAACTGCGTCCAATAGAGCGAAAAATACGGTAAGTGTGGATGAGCTTGCAAAATATGGCCTTCTGATTATAATTCCCACCCGGCAGCCTCCCAGCATGACCAGTTCTTGGCAATCAGGGGTTTCACAACGAACGTGGTGCAAGTATTGCAAGCAGATACTTACTGCCTTTAAATTCAAAAACAAGGGCCAAGTTCCATACTTTCTAAAACAACTCATCAAATCCAAATGTCTGAAGCAAATTCAGGCAGGGGTAATGCCTCAGCAGTCTAAAACGGTTTGATTCAGGCTCTGAAATACTGCCAATTTTTTTTATTATTAACTTTGCTAAACCTGAGTTGCTGGCTTGCTGAGATCTAAGGCTAGAACCCTACAGCTCACAGAACACATTTGCCCAGGTGAGAATAGACCTTTCCTCAGAGTAAGCACACTGGATCTGGTTGCACATCTAGTAAAAAGCCCTTATTTTCTTTGGCAATGTTTCAGACACCAACACCCAAATTTACCAGTGGATTATATCACAAGGCTTCCTAATGACTGGGCACAAATATTAACATATCCACTCTATTGGGAGGGGCTGTTTATGAGCTGAAGTGTCTCTTCACGGATCTTATGATTCCCAGCCCTGCAAGAGCGCACCCAAAAGTGCAAAGTGTGAATGTGACAAATGAGTGTTTGCCTCGCCTAGGTGCAGCTGTCAGAGAGCCCAGACTGGCCGAGGCCCCCTGTGGAGACTTCTTCCAAAGCCAGGTTTGCCTCTGAGAAAGATCTGAAAAGACGCAGAGTGCAGAGATGGGAGTGAAAAGGCCTAGATTTTCAATAGCTGGCAACTAAGGAGATTCTCCCCTTTTGTTTCTGCCGCTTTGCCTTCCTGCAGACGCTGCAATCCTGCTCGCATTCATTTCCGCGGCTCTCAGGCGCAGCGTGGAAGAGCTTCAACCACCAGCTGCAACAGCAAAAGACTTCATGGCAGTACTGGGCCAAGCGAGCGGGTTGCGGGAGCGAGGAAGGCCAGAGAGAAAGTTGGGGCACAGAAGGGAAGAATGACTCACAAAGGAGAGCTCTGCCTTCTGAAGGCTCTTCGGCTCAGGAGGACATCAAGGAAGGCGGGAACAAGCGCAAGAGAGTGGGCAAAAATATCCCCAGAAGAAAGGCCCAAGAGCAGTAACAAGAAGAGAGGGGGGGGGTGCTGAGCCCAGATTGCCAGTAGGGCCAGCCCCCCTCGGCAGGCAGCACTGCTCTATGTAGGGCTGCCTCTGAAGTCTGTTCAGAAACTTCAGCTGGTGCAGAATTCGGCAGCCAGGTTGCTCGGCGGGGCAAGACAGTTTGAGCATATTGTACCGATCCTGGCCCAACTGCACTGGCTGCCAATTAGCCTCCGGCCCCAATTCAAAGTGCTCGTTTCATTTCATTCATTCATTTGAGGACTTTTAGCCTGCTCTTTATTAAAATCAATCCCAGAGTGGCTTACGACCGTAACTATTAATACATACTCAACAAGAAAAACCATAAAAAAACCTAATCAAAACAATCACAAGAAAATCAACACCAGCCTCAGTAGACTCCTCCTTTGTTCCAGCTCATTTAACTAACTGCCTGAGTAAATGCATGTGTTTTGACTCATAAAGTCTTTAATGGCTCAGGACCACAATGCATTAAGGACTGCCTCTCTCCAGAGGAACCAACCCAGACCATGCGATCATCCTCTGAGGACCTTCTTCATGTGCCTTCTCCACGAGAGTTCCAGAGAGTGGCAGCATGAGAATGGGGCCTTTTTTGCAGTGGCTCCCCATTTGTGGCATGCTCTCCTCAGGGAGGTTCATATCTTTTGGCAAAAGCATTGCTCTTCAACCAAGCCTTTGGCTGTTAATCAATCTATGGCCTGCATTTCGACACCAATGTTCGCCTGCACAAAGCTTCGCCAACCTAGTGTGCTTCAAAGGCCTTTGACTACACAGCTTCAACCACACTGCCTGACTCTGATCCAGTGGGAACCAGGTTGGAGAAAGATGGCTGATACCCAACCCCCCTCAACCCATTATACCTGAAACAGGATATTTCATACCCTCATCTAAGAGACCTAAGTACTTCAGAAGAGCCACTGGATCAAGCCAATGGCCCAAAGTGTTGGTGTCGACCTTTTAAAGCCCTAAACCAGGCATAGGCAAACTCAGTCCTCCAGATGTTTTGGGACTAGAACTCCCATCATCCCTAGCTAACAGGACCAGTGGTCAGGCCAGGGATGATGGGAATTGAAACATCTGGAGGGCCGAATTTGCCTATGCCTGCCCTAAACAGCCTTGGCCCAGTATACTTCGAGGAGCATCTCCACCCCCATCGTTCTTCCTGGACATCGAGGTCCAGCGCCAAGGGCCTTCTGGCAGTTCCCTCCCTGCGAGAAGCAAAGTTACAGGGAACCAGGCCGAGGGCCTTCTCGGTGGTGGTGCCCTCCTACCAGATGTCAAGGAAATAAACAACTATCTGACTTTTAGAAGACAATTTGGGTTTTCTGCGGATTGCTGTTTGCTCCAGTTCTGCAGTAAAGAGCGGGTGTTAGAGGGGAAACAGCACTCAGACACAGAGCCTGAAAGCGTGGATTGTGCCTGGAAAGTGCAAAGGAAAGGTAAAAGTGGCTAAGCCCTGAGACGTTTGATCCAAGTTCTCTCGCAGTTCGGGTTCAGCCATTGCTATCTGAATCGACTTATTGATCACCTGAGATTTTGCGAAGCTTGCCCAGAGCTAAGCTGGTTGGCAAAGCGCTCTGCTCCGATCTCAGCTGAGCTCTGGCTGCTGCAGCAGTGGAGCCGTAAATGGCAGCAACTCCCTGAGCTGGCAGCAGCTACCTGACTGGGGCAGGAGAGGGTTCAATGTCTGTGGTCTACCTCCAACATCAGAGGCAGCAATGCTTCTGAATCCCAATCGCTGAAAATTGCAGGAGGAGAGAGGACTGCTTGCAGGTTTCCCAATGGGGCATTTGGTTGGCCACTGGGAGAACAGGATGCTGGACGCTATGGGCTCCCTTTGGCCTGATCTAGAAGGCTCATCTTGGAACGCGGGTGGCGCTGTGGGTTAAACCACAGAGCCTAGGACTTGCCGATCAGAAGGTTGGAGGTTCGAATCCCCGCGACGGGGTGAGCTCTTGTTGCTCGGTCCCTGCTCCTGCCAACCTAGCAGTTCGAAAGCACGTCAAAGTACAAGTAGATCAA